TTATAAGTGCTAGGTGCACTTATACAGTACTCAATGGTATCAGACGCCTGTGATGCGCTTATATTTGGGAGCAAAAGAGAGAGGAGCGTACTTGCCCTTGTGCTTTGCATTCTACGTCGCCGTTTGAATTAAAACGGAAAAAGGCCTTCACTTCTGAATATTTTTGAAATGAATATAGATAATGAAATTTTAAATGATTTGTTGGCTTCATTCTATTTGTAAAAGTGCTAGAATAACAAATTTAAGCAAGAGCGGCAGAATCAATTAGTTGTATTTTTGTCAATTAAAATACAATTCCCTACTGCGACAAGATTTGGGACTGAAAACCCAATAATTTAGGCAGATTTCTACAGTAATCAACCTCCCTTGTAGATACTTTTTCGCCCAGCCGTTCAACGGTCGCAACGCGACTTGCTCATGCACCGCGCCGCCTTGTGTTCAAAATCAAGTTGTGTTCATGGAACCAGGTAGCGCACTTTCCCGCATCCATACGCCACATTCAAAATTTACGAAATGAAATGAAAACGCGGATAAAAACCTCAAGATCAGTTGGCTTAATGCAAGAAAATCAAATAAAAGTTTTGAAAGGAAAAAGATAAGAAATTTCAACGGATTGATTGGATGAATTGGCTTAAGGTCACTTCAATACAAGACTTCCTAAACATAAAATATGGTGTAATAAAGGCTGAAAAGTATTAAGGGTGATAAACGTTCAATAAGAATATATGAAAAAAAACATATTTTATAAAACTCATAATGTATAAAAGTACCAACCTCATTCTCAAGAGGGATGCCGTTCTCTTTGGCGTTCAACGCCTTAACGGCATCCTTCGCCTCGATCAGTGACGACTGTACCTTAGCAGGCACAAGCAACGCCGACGGATCGAGGATTGGAGCCGACTGGAAATTTATTCTTTGAATCTTGTTCAATCACACAATTAATATATTTCATAATAATTTATTCATGTTAATTTGGCCAAAAATTTTGTTTTGCCAGATAAATAGGAATTATAGAATTTTAAATTTAATTATGATTTGATATGAATTTTAATAAGTTTAAGAAAACTAAAGTGCTACTTTTGATCTTTGAATATTTAGTAGTTCAAAAGTTTTTACTTATATAGTTTGGAGTTATGATTGAAAATAAAAAACCAATACTTGCCTTATGAATAACCTAGAAGCTCTAAGTGTAGAATGAAAAAGGATATTGGGATGAAAATCACCTCTTTCCTAGCTGAGTTCGGATTTTTCCGTCTTGTAGGTGAGGGAGAACGTGAGGAGAAGGGAACACCATCAGTAGACATGTCATCTCTTCTAAAATGGAGTTTTTCCTCAATTTTTTCATTCATAGCTGTGGAGACTATCAAAGATTCTAATTAAACTTGTTTGGTATATACGATGTAATTGCACAAAACACACTTTATGGAGAAAATACGCTTTGTGGCTGGGCTGACATTGAATTTTCTTGGAACTGGGTGGGCAATTACACAATATGTGAGTATATTTTTTAGGGTGCTGCTCTTCAAACTTTAAAGGTTAAATATTGACGGGCTGCGCAAAAAAAACATTTTCAAATGAATTTTTTTTCAAAGAAATGAGTAGTTCAGGATTTTTAAGCTGGATTTCTGAAATTATAGAAAAAAACCTTAACCAACCCTCTTTCCCTCTGCATAAGCGTGGACTTAAATGCATTGATATAAGCTGCAACATTTACATCTAAATATGTACAGTCCTCTTTAACAACAACAGAATAATCAGGCTTAAACATGAGATCAGGACGACGACAAGATAGATCAGTAGTATCTAAAATGGCAAAATAATAGATTAAGGAATTTCCCCTAAAAATTATTTTAACTCACCAATGATTGAGGTACTTCTGCTTAAAGTTGCGGCTCCTTGAACTAGTTTCTTTAAGATTTCACCACCAAAACAATGCCATGGACCGGCCTCAAACATCATTCCACTTTGTCCAATGGTGACTTGTACACGGCCCTCCAAAATCAGCACAAAACGATCGCTAATTTCGTCTTTGGTGTAAAGTTTCGCCAATCTGGGCACATTGACCTCATCGTGGGACAT